GAAATAGGAAACCAATCAACCTTTGTTTCTCCCCCACTACCAGTCTTGAACCTAGTCTTGTGGTTCGGTCTGGCTTCCCATGATCGATCTGCACATCAACAAGAGGTTCTTCTGTCATGATTGAAGGCTCCTCCCCCTACTATTATTGAGTGAGGGCTCTTGTAATTGCTATCTTGGGCTAACAGAACGAATGGGAACTTTTCCTTTTCCAACAGATTTTAAAGATACAAAGTAACACTAATTTGCCGTTACCTGATCTTATTTATATATATCAATCACCCTGTTTCCATTTGGGCCCGAGCATCGCATCACTTGATGCAGAGTTGACGGAACACCTTAGACTCTGTGAATCCATCCTCTTCCCATTAAGAGATTGTAAGATGGATGGATCTCAATGACCACAAAGCTCTCTGTTAGAACTCTCTCAGCAGCTTGTACTGTCAATTCCACTGTACTAATGGGCTCCACCCGTTTCCCATCGAACCCCAGCAATGGATTTCCGGTGGGTTTGAGCTTTTTTAGCATGATTTCGAGCAAGTCAAATGTTATTCTGGGCATGACATTCGTACTGCTCCCTGGATCAATCAGAACTCACCATACCAAGCACTCTACAATCGTCAAACTGACGACCAGTGGATCTTCATGAGGGGTCTGAAAGCGCAACAGGTCTACTCTATCGAACTTTATCTGAGTCAATGCGCTCTACTGGTACAGAGCATTCACATATCCTATTCTCCTCTTCATCAGTGCTTGGCGGAGGCGCGTCCTGAGGAGCTCCTCTGACTGCTCAAGTCAGCCATAAATTGCATTAATAATCTGAACGGGCTAAGTGTTATTGTAACTTGGCTTCTAATTCCTCTTTATTTGTTCTACCGGTCGGTTTTGCTTCGTCGCCAGCCCTTAAATATATCCAGCAAACTCTCCTCTTGCTATCAATATCTCCACCTGCCTCCTTAAGTTCCTGCATTCGTTAGTCTAATGGCCAAAGTCAATATGAAAAGCACAATGCTTAGACTAATCTCTCTGCTCAAGAGGTTATCTGATTGGTGGAGAAGAGCAAAACATATCTTTGTTTTCTTAGTATAGTCTTGCGAGAGTTACTCTGAGTGGAATGACCATCTCCTCTTCTCTAGGCCTTTTTTCTGCCTCCTAGGAGGTCTGACGCTGTGGCGAAGCTTATTTCTGACGGATCTTGGCTTTGGTCTTCTCCTCTGTTGATATAATCGATGTCTTCCTTGCATTAGCTATTTTTTCTTCTTCCAAAAACACAAAACCATTAGCTCTTTTATTCAGCTCGTCCATGGTCTTCGGCGTATTCACCACCAGGCTCATATGGAACGGTGTCCCTTAGTTCATTGCTAGCTTGAACACTTGAACTACCATGGATGGATGACATTCCATTACTATACTCTTGACAAGGTTGAACCTGGTGAGAAAAGCTTGAAGTCACTCATCCTCGTGCTGCTTCATTGTAAACAGGCTCGAAACATCCTAGGTCGGATACTTATTCCGATAATATTGACTAATAAACTTGTCACACAAGTCCGGGAAGCTAGTTATTGATCCTTGGGCCAAATTCTTGAACCAGTTAAGTACAAGTCTGGTCAAGCTTGTTGGAAAGCACTTGCACATCAGAGGATCATTCTCCGTGTTTAGAGCCATTTTCAATTAAATATGGTAAATGTGGTCAATCGGATCAGTCGTTCCATCAAACAGAATGAAAACCGGCATAGAAAACTTTCTTCATTCCGGAGCATTCAGGATCTCATCAGTGAATGGAGAGATGACTGTTCTGGCTGATGAACGGAGGGCCTCATTCTCCCTTGAGAACTATAGGGGAATCCTCTGGTCTACAGGTCTCCATTCAGAGCTCATGTAGTCATACGTCGCCATTGAAGGCCTGTAGGGTGGATCAAACGATCTCTTCTTTGTGAATTCACTCTGGCATGGTGACTTAGCTCTATGATGGCCATACACCATAGCTTTATCGCGCCTCAATCTTCCCTAACTTGGAATGAACGTTGCGGCTTTTACTCGCATGATCCGTTCACGATGCTGATCCAAATGGATAGATCCCTCTCGATCCTCCATCTGACAGATGTCTGGCGGTAAATCGCTTGGCATGATCTCTACATTATAAAGATTCACGCGATTGTTTCCTTCCGGATCATCTTGATGAACATCATTGGACTGCAAAACTCCCTATCCTACTAGAGGTGGACATAGAATAGCTGGATCTTCCCGACGTTCCATTCCAGCTCGTAATTCTGTATTCTCTCTTCACAGGGCTTCGATCATACTCATCAGTTCATCGAGCATCAACTACTGACCATTCTCTATTGGATTTGAGCTCTCTTCACCTATCATCATTCCTGACCGGAGCAAAGTCATCAACCGCCAATTCTGGATCAGATCTGAGCTTCGATAACGTGAATAATGCTAGATCTAGATTCAGACCAGTTGAATTCCGATCTCAATTGGCTAGATCTGGAACTCTCTTTGCCGCAGGCTTGCGAAATCTAGCTTTGCTGAGCAAATTGCAGCTGCGTAGATCTAACGCCAATTTCTCTGAATCAACTAGAAGCAAGACTCTGCAAAAAGAATCATGATATCACCGATCTGATTCAACTTCCATGGATCAAACTTCTTTTTCACAAATTAGTTTGACTTGAATCAATGTTGACTGAACACGAATCAATCCCCATCGATTCCCACAGACGGTGCCATTGAAGATGCAAGAAACTTTTCCCCTAATTTAGAAAGAGATATTCAACACTTCAAATATTTTCCAACCCCTTTTCCCTTTATTTTCCGTCTATTTATAGACGGTTACAACCACTCTTAAAGTTTCCTAACTGATTTCATTGTAATGGGCTGGCCTTGTCCATTTTCATTCGTTCTGGGCCCAACCCCTTTCATCTTACCTCCATATATTTCCTTCCTTGACCTCTTCATGTTGGGCCTTCTTAAAGAGGGCTTGCTTCACTTTAGTGGTAATTGCCCGACTCGTTCTAAACAATCCGAACTGAACCGAGCCCAAGTCATTTTTGGTATCTTCAATATTAAATCATATATCAACATACATCAATAAATATATATATATATATATATATATATATATATATATATACCCATATATAATTTGGATCTATGAATGATGATTTTGATAAAAACATGATCTCTAGTAATGAATCAAACCATTCTCTGCTACCACTGTTAGGAAACGTGCAAGTTTTAAAAAATTTCTGAGGGATTTTCATACATAGATCTTGATTTATCACATAGAGACAAGTTTTATTCAAAAATAAAATATGATGTATCATTCAATTAATAGATTGAATACTTACATCATGGTTTGAGTAAACCTTAGATCTCTCCTCTAAAGTGAATGTTCTCACTTATTGCAGATCCCTTTGCTAGATGACTTCTCCTTGAATCTCCATCTTCTTGATAATGATTTTGCCTTTAGGAATCACCCATAAGCCTCCATGAACGACCTTGGAAAACTAGGCTTGTGGGAGCCTCTATTAGATGAGAACAGTAACCCTAAAATTCTAAAGAGAGAAAATATTCCTTTTTCTTCCAAAAATCCTACCTAAAATATACATGGACCATTTATATATAGGCAACATAAAGATAAGAAAAGGAACCAATAAATCCTTCTCAATCTCTAATTACCATATCTCAAATCTAATAGGATTCCAATATCAAGTTGGGTTATGAGTGAGAATCCTTTGGGCTTATTATTTTCTTGGCTACAATGAATTAATAATTGGCCCGATCCATGCACCCAATTTAATTAATTCATAAATTAATTTCTACTCCACTAAAAGAAATTAATTGAACTCCAATTAAATAATAAATAACCTCTAAGTTAATGTTATACTTTGACCCCTCTATGTATAATTAGTTATCGGATAAATAAAGCCATCAATCCGACTACTTAATTAATATATTTATTTTGGTACCTTTGATTATTTCCGGCTTGATCACAATAAAACATTTGTTTGACAAAAATAATAATTTAAATAAATAAATATATAATAAATTATTTTGTCTAAAAACACACGAAGGCCTTCAAATTTACTTTGTTATCAACCATAATCAATACAAAATAAATACAAGTAGCAATGATGCAAATATTGAAAATATAATTCTCTAACTATTAATTACATAATTACCCAAAGTGTCAGTCTAAGGATTCCAAAGATTCCGCCAAATAAATCAAAGTAATTACTAATTAATAAAAGAGTCTATACTTCTCTCATGCTTAAAAGTCAAATGCCATGACGATGATAGAGAGTAATTACATACAACGGCTCTTACAATTTATCTCAACCTAATGTGGATCCAGTTCAAGTCTTAATTAATAATGAGTCCATCCATAATTACCGACTATGAACTATTTATGATTACTATTTAAATTCATGTATTGATCGCCATCACATACATTTATAAATATCTCTTGTAATCAAGTGGACACTATCAATTCCATAATGAATCGAAACATAATACCTTGAATTCACCAATTATATAAAACATAAATATTTTAGATATCTTAGGAACATATGTCACTATAATCTTGTTAGGAATTTTCTGTGCCAGGGCATATAAATCCCAACACTTGTCAGAGTTGTATTATATGTTCATACATATGTTAAGATAGCTGCATTGCATTAAACAACTGTGATTTAGCCTGCATTGTGATTTATACAGTCTCAGCAACTGTTTGAAGCTGAGAATGACAAGTGGCTGTTACAAGGCCATTTTGGTCTTTCTACTTGGAGTTCAGGTGTGTGACACGTTGCTGTGGTCCTAGAGTGAGAGTATATACACTATATTGCATTTCTTAATCACTAAGGGCCTGTTTGGTATGTGTAATGTTTTGTGGTGTAGTGTTCCAGGCCCGCTACAGTACCACTATTAGGGCCCAAAACATGTTTGGCACAGGCCTGTATTGGTTTCAACAGTCAGAACATTTTCTAAAATTGGGCCAAAAGTTGGAACAACAATTTGGTATTCTGGTTTGTTCCAAAAATTCAGTCTGCCCAGAAATCACTGTAGCGGGTGCAACAAATGCCAAAACTTGTTCTAATTTGAGAACATGTATAAAAAGAAATTACGTATATGTTTTAGGGCTAGGATTTATATTGCGCAGCTGAGGCAATTCGGCGACTCCAGTACGGCTGACATCTATAAATCGACGACCCTATTTCATGGTGAGCTCCTCTGGATCTTCGCATTTCATGTGTAACATACTTAATCCTTCTTCTCTCTCTAAAATTTCGACGGTGTGTGAAGATTGGGCTTGAAATTGACGACTGTGTATGAAGATCTGAAGAGCTCTCTCTTCATCACGTCTCTCCACTCTCGAATTATCTTCTCTTTTTCTCTAGCCGATTTACGCCAACGATATGCCGGTAGTCGTCTGTAACTTCCAGTGAGCTCCAGTTTTCTTCTCTGGCGACGATTTGGCAAGAAAATTTCTAAAATCTGCCCAAGCTCTCTCTCTATTTCCTCACTCTCTCATCTCGGGTATGTTGAGTTATTATAATTTTGTTTTTAATTTTTTTGAGAGAATTTTGATTTGGGCACAACCAGTATAATCAATGTAATTTTGTTTTTAATTGTTTTGAGAGAATTTTTAATCAATATATGCATGTTTAAAATTGGTATTTGCAATCAATTCAATAAAAAGAGTTTTACAAAAATTTGTTTGTTATTTATCATCCATGTTGTTTCTATATACAATATAAATGCTATAGTTAGAATTTTTAGAATACAAATGGGTATAACTCTGGAATGTTTGCCATCTAAAGAAAAGTTTCTATAATTACAGGAAATCTAATAAAAATATAAGCCAATATTTTAGTTAAAAAAAAAAAAAAATGGGCTGAAGGAATTCTAATTTCTGTGCAAGTTAGTGTCATTACAATTAGATATTCAGTTTATTCTTCTTTGTAAATAAATGAAAGATGTAATTGGTCTATATTTCAGCTTGCTTCATCTCCTCCATCAAATAATTGGTTTTTGTTAAAGATTCCAGTGACGTCCCATCATTTATCATTACTTTTTATTATTATTATTTTTACTCATAATTTTAATTTTGTCATAACTTGGTTGGCTCAATATTTTAAAGAAACTCAAATGTTAGTATACAAAATTTAATAAAGAAGTAATCCTGAAAATATTCTAAATCCAACAGCTGACATTGTGCAGTTTAAAAATTGAATATTAATATATTTATAACTTATTTATAAAGATAGAACATCTTTAAGTTAGGTTTTGACTATAAGCTATTTTGGTGAACATAATAATAATAAATGGTGAGACCAAGAGCATGTTGTGATTACACATGTATGATAGGTTAAAAAAGAAAGAATTAAGTTTCATTTCTATTTTCTCTAAAATATGTTGTAAATATTACTTTTTAAGTGGATACTTTATTTAAAGAATAAGAAGTACCCCCAAAAAGTCTTCTATTACATACATGAACTAAAATTAGATCTTTTTTAGTTTATCAAAATTAATATCAGAACAAGTACACATGTATATAATCAATATATGCAATGTTCTACACCTAAAGAACTCAGAATTAATTTCTCTCTTCCTGATACGAGTTATTTTAAGAATCTCACCAACATGCATAATTTATGGGACCAGAGTTGTTAATGACCCTTTTAACCTATTCTTATTAAAACTATGTAATTATGTCGTTTCTTACATTTTGTATTATACAAATGGATATTAGAACAATCATTGAGTTGTATGATGATGATGACGACGAGAATGAATATGTCATCATAATGGCATGTATGTTGCATTACTATATGAAACATTACCATAAACAACCTTGTAGGGATTCAATTTTAAGAAGGAAAACATATATATTGGAGATCTTGAATGATCATGGAAGTAGATGTTTTGAAAACTTTAGGATGTCCACCCCTATTTTTTTGAAGTTGTGTGGGGAGCTTAGGTCATTAGGGTTGAAAGACTCTAAAGGTGTAAGTGTTTATAAACAAGTTGGCATATTCTTGCTTACTTTAGCTCACAATGAAAGGAATCGTGTGGTAGCAGAAAGATTTCAACACTCTACCTGTATAATTTCAAAACACTTCCATTCGGTTTTACAAAAAGTGTGTGATTTAGGGAAAAAAATTATTGTCCCCCTAGATTTAACCCAAGTTCCTAACCATATAAGGAAGTTAAAAAAGTACTACCCTTTTTTAAGGAATTGCATAGGGGCAATTGATGGAACTCATATTCATGTGAACATGCTTGTGGACCAGCAAATCCCATTACGTGGTAGGAAGGGGGATATCACACAAAATGTAATGGCTGTTTGTGATTTTGATATGATGTTCACGTACGTTGTAGCAGGATGGGAGAGTTCTGCTAATGATTCTAAGATATTGAACGAGACCATTAATAATGAAGATATGCATTCCCCATAGCCTCCAGACGGTAAATGTCATACTTCTTACAATTTTGCAATAGTTATTTTAAAATACAATGGTACAATTGTTTATAGTTTGTAAAATGACAGAAAAATATTATTTGGTGGACTCCGGGTATGCCAATCAACCAGATTTCTTGGCTTCTTACGGGGTCAACGGTACCACTTCCAAGAGTACCGTAGAGCTTCTAGGCAACCCCGAGGTAGAGAGGAAACATACAATCACAGGCACTCGTCTTTGGGGAATATAATTGAGCATTGTTTTGGGATGCTTAAGATAAGATTCCCCATCTTGAAGCAAATGCCTCCATATAAGTTTGAAACTCAGGTTGCTATTGTTTTAGCCTACTACACACTTCACAACTTTATAAGAAAGGAGGCGCAAGTAGATGCAATATTTGATGATGCAACTATGGAGGCGCTGATAGATGAAATATTTAAAGATGAGAATGATGATGTTTAGGATAATGTGCCGCAGTCTCGGTCGCGACCAATGGATATTTTATGTGATCATATTTGCTAATACTATATGGAATACAATTCAGCACCCTTGAAATTGTATTTAGATGTTTATCATGTTTGGATAACTATAATAACTACTTTATTTTAACTATTCGTTAGAATTTGGATAACTGCAATAACTACTTTATTTTAACTCTCTTTTACGATTTTGATAAATGTAATAAATTGTGCCAAGTATATTTTAACTCTTTTTTAGGATTTGGATAACTATAATAACTACTTTATTTTAATTCTTTTGTTACGATTTGGATAAATGAAATAACTTGTGCGAAGTATACATTATACATTTTACCACTTGTATATGCAATCATGTATGATATACAGGGTGACGGGCCACCTTGTGCATGTGGAAGGGGTCGAATGAATCTTTATACGGCTGGAACTTTAAAGAATTATGGACGTTCATTCTATAGATGTACAGTTTGGGGGGGGGGGGGGAGGGGGTATACAATCCTTTGCATTAATTATTTTTTACATTACACATGTTATTGTCGCAGTGGCACTGTAACAATATACAAGCCTTTGATGTTTTAGTCACATGCTCGTTCATTTATATGGTTGGATGACATGCACGAACGTTTGCAAGTGGGTGGTCATGCGGAGCAAGAGTTGGAGGATGTAGTCACTGTTATGCAAGCTCAACAAAATAGGCAAAACTATATTATCTATGGTGGTTGTTGTTGTCTTACAACAACTATATTATTTATGTTATTACTCATGTTGTTGTTATTGGTTATTATGGCTGTTGATAAATGATGTAATATATTAGTTCAATTTTACTTCATAAACTTTTATTGTGCCTGTGGATAAGTGTTGAAAAGTGATGTAATATTTATAAAACTCGTGTGTGTAATATCTTCAAACTCATGTAATGTGTAATGTTGAAAGTTTATTTCAATTCGATATTGAAACAATGTATTCGACAATTATCAAAACAATATGCAGCATTCATAGGTTTTACAATTTATAATATATATTTTTGGTTTTTATAGATTAGTTAGAAAATATTGTAAACTAAAACTTAATAAACTAACATAAACAAAAAAATAAAATAAAATTATTAAAAGTTATATCAATTGTATACTAAAATTATACAATAATTAAATTCTACTTTATATTTAATAAAGTTATTAATAATGTATTGATGAAAACATTATTTAAAAACACTCTTTACCAAACATATTTCATGTTTTTATTTCAGTGATTTTGGTTACACTTTCACTCTTCCAAACATGTTTTGTTATCATATTCCTTAAAACGAAATACCTTACCAAACGTGTTCTACCATGTTTCTGTTCCAAAATTCTCATTACAAATTTTTATCGCCAAACATATTTTGTTCTCATCTCAGAACACTCCATTACAAAACACTTATTCTGTTTTAGGCTAAAACAAAACGCCCGGGAACACAAAGCATACCAAATGGGCCCTAAGTCTTGGATAAGAATGTTATTACATCCTTTACATTGTGAGTTGTAATTTCTGGTATACTAGAGGACAAACCAGCTGAGTTGTGACGGCCCAAGTTTTTTAACCCGGTGTGTCAGTGATGAACCAAAAGATGACCTGATAACGGATCCGAAATGCGAAAGCAAAGACAAAACAACGGTCTCTAGAGATACAACATGGCTCTAAGACACCCTTATGACCCTCAACGAGGTCACGGAACCCAAAGGAATCAAATGCGGAAGCGACGTTCCAAAAACGAACAAGAACGAACCTAGGGGCAAAATCATCATTTTAAACTTAAAAGTGGGTGCCACCAAGCACACCATTGGAAAGACAACGAAAAATTAATGAATTTAGACTCAAGAATCGCTTGATTCGGAGTCCGGATGAAGAAGATATGGCTAACGGAAGAAGAAGGGGCAAAACGGTCAAAAAGTGGACAACCAAGAACATATAACCAGTTAGGAGACCTTCCTAACCGGTTAGGAAGCCAAAAATCTCGACCAAAGCACTGCCCATGCACATGTAACCGGTTACCAAACTCCTCGTAACCGTTTACATGTGAAGAGGGCAGAATACTCAACAAGGAAAACCTGGCAGCAGGGGTTTTTCCGGGAAAAATGGAAATTTAAGGGCCAAGATGACATTTTCTGGAAAAACTCAAAGAAAAAACCCCCCTCAAAATCGAGTTTTCTACATGACTTAAAAGGAAAATCGAAAAATATGCAATGTGAAATGCCCAAAATGCCCTCCCAAGAGAACTGGTCCAGAGGGTCTAAAAAACTACTAAATTTAAAAACTGAAAGCTGAACTTCGGATGCGATTTCGGATGCCAAGATGGCATTTTCTGGAAAAACACAAACAAGAAACTGGCCTCATCTCATACATGTCAAATACATCGTAAAGAGTGTACTCATGTACACATTACATATAAGGAATCAAATGTACACATGTTGACATATAAGACTATAATTGGCATTCCAAGCCAACCTTCACAAAAATGGAAGTCTCCAAGTCCACAAACCATCCAAGCATAATAAAGGCTTCAGCTATGATTCTTGTACCTGAAATATGCCCCAGTATCGTAGGGGTGAGTAACATAAAGCTACTCGTAGGAAATGAGCATGCATCAACCTACGTTTTACAAGTTTGCATAATTTAATCATTGTGGTTCATTCCACCTAACGTCTATGTCAAAGGTGAGACTCAAGGAGTATCTTAGCTACCTAAGATCATTTCTAGCATCAATCACCTCATTCATGCAATTTTAGCAACATAGGTTCACGCTTACACAAAGCAACAACAATGGAGCATGCTTACACAAGCAACAACATATAGATTCTCAAGGTTATCAACTTGAAGTCTAAAATGCAACATCAACTAAATATAACAATTTAGCATAATTAGAATATCTAATACCACACATCAAGACATAGATTTTCTAGGTTATCAACTAGAAATCTAAAAGTGTGAAATCAACTAAATATATCAATTTAGTATGGATGTACTTAACAACATCAAAATCGCCAATAGCCAAAACCACAAGTCAACAAGGTAAACATGATTGTCAACTTGGAATTGAATGCGAAAACAAATAGTGGAAGACTTGGACATCATGCTCAGAATTCTGCCGAAACCTCAATGGTTATTTCGGGCACTAACCCACAGGGAAGACCACCCTAAGTGCGCACTATCTCAATGACTTAGAGGACTCATGTCCCCGTACTAGAGCCAAACCCTAGCCATCTCAACTCAACAATGTTCCAAGATTCCAAAATAAGCCAAATAAGTTCATAACTTATACATATTACTACTACATAGTAACAAGTTAGCAATATAACTCTTAATTGTGCATAATAAGCATTTCATATCCATAATGCTACGAGATCACAAGCCAACAATATATTCATATTAGAAACATACTCTCATGAATATAACTTAACAACAATACTCTTCAATGCATATAACACAATCTAGTGAATACATCACAAGTCTAAATCCATGCTCTTAAAATAGAAACAACTTCTAAAACATGATTAGATCCATGGATAAATAAGATAGAATTTAATTACATCAAAATAATTAAACTCTCTAGATTTCAAATCATTTCCAATTGGCCCCAATTTAACATATGTTAATAGACATATCATGGTCATTACATATATTCATACAAAAGCTTAATTAGGCCCATGAAACCACAAAATTAAATTTTAATTAATTTTCTTAATTAAAGTCTCTAAATTTTCAAACTTAACCGAATGCTCTCAAATTAAAGTATGTTAACAAACATGCCAAAACTCAATTTAGAAGCATAATACAACTCAATTCCATGTAAGGTATGGCCATGAACTTAAATCTTTCACAAAAGATAAATATTAATTAAAAAGAGCAATTCTTATTTAATTAATCCAAATTTAATATATGTTAACCAACATGTTAAAACAACATTTTCTACCATGCCACAATTCAAATCAAAGTTATATATCATCATGAATTTTAAATCTTATACAAAGAATTAAAAATTACCAACTTTCTAGATTTGATACAAGGCACATATATAAGTTGTATAATCATGCTAAACACTCAATACAACACACACAAAAGCCTAAAACATTCCCTACCTCCATTTGAGATGAAATCTCAAATCCCCACCAAAATAAATCGGCTCTGAATCCGACGAAACTCCTAGGTTTTGTCGGGGACAACACCACGAACATGAATCCCAAGGAAGCCCCATCAAAAACACAACTTGACTTCAAACCCGAATTCAAGAAATGGCCAAAACAAGATTCCAATTGGTTGGAATCGAAGGCCTCGTCGAGGGGAACAATAAACACTAAGGCACTAAGGTATTTCATTGAAGGCAAGAAGCTCAAAAGAAGAGAGAGAAGATGGAAGCCATGGCTGCCTCTAGATCCGGCCAAGAGAGAGGACAGAGAGAGCAAAAATCTGATTTTTCACTTAAAGACCACCTATTTATAGAAAAACTCAAAAAGTGCCCCGAACGGGCCCCACCGGGTCCGGAAAAGTGGAATTCGCGCAGACGCGCTCAAATGGCAAAACTCTGTGAACAAAAAAGATTCAAAAATGAGATAATATGAACAAGGGAAGAAACGGCGTCAAAAACTGAGTCCCGACCAGAGAGTTATGCCCAAAACAAGTTTGGCGCAAACCGGGGCCAGAAACCCTAAAACTGGAAAACATTGTCCAGGAGGAAATTTTAAGAGTCCATGGCTCGACGAAATGTGAAAATGAATCCCATATGAGGATCCAGGCTCAAAACAAGGCATTGAGCAATAACTTTCATTAATTGCACAATGACCCCTCTAAAAAGTGAAAACTGCAAAACTGCCCCGGAATGAAAATATCTTCCAAAAGATATTTCTTAGATACCCCTGAAATAAAATATCTTCAAAAGATATTCATGAAAAACACTCCAAGAAGAGAAAAAGTTTCCAAAGAACTTTGCATTTATGCCCCTACGGGCACCGGGAGTAACTAGAGTACTTTCTCACGAAAGTAAAGATACGTATCTCATAGAAATCATTGAGAATGAAGATACATGAAGTCAGAAACCAACTCTGAACACAAGAAGTGTGGTTACGCAAACAGAGTGACAAACGAGGAAAAGACGAAATAGGGAAAAAGACAAAATAGGGAAAAGACAAAAAGTGAATAGTGTCGAAAAACGAAAAGTGCGGAACTGACTCGGTCCTCAAAGGAAGTTGTCAATCCACAAAAAAAAGAGTCTCGGAAATCACTCCAGAGCACTCGAGACGACACTAATCGACAAGAAACCAAACTCAGAAGGGAAAAGACAATGAAAAAAAATTATCCGAAAAATCCGGGTCGTTACATGAGTTGGCAATGGTTTAATGGTCTATTCTCAAGAAGAATGTCAAAATATTCTCTAGTCAATGATTAGTTACAGGTGTCATATGTATATCCTTCTTGTAGTAGGACTTATGAAGTGAGCTCAAGT